TGTGGTCTCGCTTCCGCGGGCCCCCTCCGGCTGCGCTATTATTTTATTAACAATAATGAAAGCCGGTAATTAAACATTCACACCCGACGGCGCCGACGTCGGTGGCGACGGCAAAGTCGCTTGCTCGAGTATTCCTCGTGGCAGCTCATCCGTATAACAATTTAATTCGAGCCACCCCAGCCGCGCGCCCGGGGGTTTGCCTAACTTCTGCAGCACTTCGCAACACTTCGCTTACTTATTCACAACAACCGAGTTAAGCCGAGGCTCGTTCGAAAGCCGAGAGTCGAGCTGAAACGCCTCGGCGGATCTGCCGAATGGAGATAATCGGTGCGCGAGGCTCGAGAGCCCGCAAGTCACGCTTTTGCGGAGCTGCGAAGCAACGCGAGAAGTTCTGCCATTCCTGCGAGTGCTCGTGCAGCAACGCGCGGCGCGGTTTCTTCCTACAAATTTCAAAGAATTTTTCACAGTCTTTTTTTCAACTAGGAATTCTATCGAAGGATTGCGGTTATCGAAATTAACCAAGTAGAAATTTTAAAACAACCCACTATTCGCGATAAAGTTCTTTGAAAAGTAATTTTCACAAACATTGGCTGAGACACATAAATTTGGTATTCCCGATTGAACAACGCAACGTTGTTCTCGCGACTTTCGTCGCTTATGCCGCGCTCCAGCTGGCGTAAACGATGATTAGCTCCCCTAACTCGAGACTTCCGACGGGGGATCAATGTCGCGGAGCGAGAAGAATCCGTTCTCTTGACATTTCCTCTCTTGACGGGCATAATTGACGCGAGAGATTCTGACGCCGAGGCATCCGGAGACAATTCGCGAATAGAACGAGAGGGGGCGGGAGGAGGGAGACAGACGGAGAAACGAGGAAAGTCAGAGTTGCGAACTATGCGAGCGACGTGTGGGTGCCTCGAGGTGCACGTCAGATGCAAATCATGCCGACTAATTTCTCGGAAAACTCGCGGATCCGGAGGGAGCACAGGAGAGCAGACCGAATATATCCGCGGTGAGATACGTCCAAGCATAATAGCGTAGCGATAAAGCCGAATGGCCGAATTAATTATATCCCCGTGTCTTTGCTTGTCCAAAACAGTTCAACCATTCGGTGTTAACAACCCTTTGGCCCGACTAGTTAGCAAAAGCGTCCGTTTCATGTACATGTTGATTAACCCTTTGAGGTTCGATTTAATCTCTTTAGTTATCGATATTAATATTTTATTTATTTGAATTAATTTCATAAAAAGCCCCGCGTAGTCGGGAGGAAATAAAGCGTATGCGGTTTCATATTTTAAATTTCACTTCTTTTCAAAAGCGCAATAAAATTATTTAATTTGACGGCAAATTGGTTGTCGATGGCAAAAACCATATTTAAAGAGTATTTTAGTTTTTTAAATGAAAATTATCATATTGTTATGTATATCATATATGTAGCATGCTTTGGAAAAAGATTTTATAAATCAAATAACTGCCGCATCGGTTACGAATAAATTGTATCAGACTGGAAAGGGATAGGAAGAGGACAGGGTCGCTCCTCGATATCGCTTGACGGAGGTCGATGGCATTTCGGCGTATTTAATATCACTCCTCGGCATTTGCCCGACCTTTCTTGCACCCTAATGATTCTCTAGCCGGAATTGACTCGGGCTACAAGACCGAAACGCACAAGGCCAAACCGTGCATTCGCTGAAAAGAACGTGTATCTAACATTCTCCGATAACTTCTGTTAACACACGAGAAAAGATAGCTAAGATAAAAAGTACAAAGATAGAGAAGATTGTTTTTTCTTTACCACCAAGTTGAAAGCCACTGTCTCGATTCTAAAACGGACGTCCTCGCAGAAGGCGGAAACAAAGTCGTGTGTGCTCGTGCAAAAGCTCTCGCGAAGAGCTCTTCGTCGGCGCGTGACTATCGAGCGAAGCCGATTACGGCCTAAAGATACGTCGGCGAGAGTATACTTTCTTTCGCGGTCGATGGTAACGTGCAACCCTTAAGGCGAAGGCATTGGTTGAGGGTCGAAGCGGTTGACCGTACGCAAAGGCGGAAACGGATGTGGCCGTTGGGTCACGCGATCTCCACGAGCCGAGCATAAAACACCTGAGTTGTTTAATCATACGCTCCCGAGGTGGAAGTCGTGGCTCGAGAACTCATAAAGGGTGTTTCTTTCTCTCGTTTCCTTCATCGGCCTCGTCGAGTTTGTATCGCGATACAGAAGTGCGGATTACTCATTAACGAGCGGACGTGCAAACGCGACGATAATGAAGGCCTCGAACGCAATCGGACGAATTCTTCCGCCCCCCCCCCCCCGCCGAATCTCAGTATGGAAATTTAGTTGCCTTGCGAGGCTAACCAAAGTGTCATTATACTGTACAGCGTTCCTGTCGATATCTTTTTGCGATAATTACGCGAAAATTTTAATTTACATGCTAATTTTCTTGATACCCTCCTATCTAACTTACAATCCACTGGTTTTTTTTAATCGATTTATGCTAAAGAAAAAATTACTAGAAAGTAAACAGATCTTAGAAAATGTTAGGTCTCTGCACGCAAACTGTATTGTGTGAAAGTAGTTTGTCTTCAGACGATCAAATGGGGACATAAAAGTTTCCACGTTACATTCAGCGCTCGCATGACGAAATAATATATTCGCAAGTGACCTGTAACGGAAAAATTAACGTGTGCTAAGCGGTTCTCAAATATTTTCCACGCCGGCACAAAGTTATCTTTGCTAATGTAATCATGCATCGTTTGCAGCAGTATCATTATCAATGGTGTTTTCTCAAACAATAATAGGAGGACCACGAATCGAGCGAATCGAAAACGCGCGCAATGAATTATAAATCCCATCATACGGCATTAACGAGGCGAACTCTTTCGCCTGTTTTCCCAGCGTGATTCTCGGCTAATATCTCACGGCGATCGAAACGCGCGGATAAAAAATATAAAATTAATACCGTCCCATCCGCGACGAGAGAATCTCCCGTGCGTGAACGCTATTTAAAGCCGATGACGCATTTTGTACGTCGCGCAATTTCGAGATTTATCGCAGCTGCGTTTCCACCACCGATTCGTCGGAGGCCGCACGTTGCGAACATCGACTGCGTGTGATTTAAAGTGTCGCATGCGCGCGAACGGCAAAACGACGAGTCGAACGAGACAGATGAAGAAATTACCGCCGATGTCGCTTCGCGCGAGCGAAAATAAGCCGGGGACCTGCCATATTTTTGCGGCAAAAGTTTGAGCGGCGAAAATCGGCTTTGGCGGCGCGATTATCATCAGCATAATACAGTTAATGTATTGCAATAATTAATTAATAACCAATACGAGAGATACATACACACGCCGCCGTTATTAGCTTGTCAAATAATTATATCAATAATCATACATTGATAATTATTGTATAATGAAAAAGCGCGAACGCGCTCGTAAATCACAGCGGCGTCGGTCCGCAGCATTTTCTGAAACACAAAGTTTCGAGAGCAGTCGGGTAGATTTTAATTAAATTCTACGATCTCTCCTCGCGCGCGCGCTCTCTCTCTCTCTCCCTCCGAAACGACCGCAGCGTAGTAAGACGCGACCGGCTTAAGCTCTTCGCCGACTTACGATCTCTGCCCGAGGAAGCATCGAGTCTCGCCTTTGTCTAACGCAAGCACGACGGGCATTGTCGGACGACTGCTCGTCCTTCCCCACCGGCGGGCGCAGCATTGTTCGTGCTTATATTGTATTTTGGCATTACGAGTTAGCCGGTTTAATTGTTATTGTTCCGCAGAGCTTATCGAACACGGTGCCCTGTTGCATTCCCACGCGAATCATCGCCCGGCATCGCAATTACTCCTAAATCACTAAACTCCCTTACCTGCGAGCGAGCAGTTACACGTAACTTACGACATTGACACCGTTTATCGACTCTCCGATAGCGGGCACCCGTTATAAGCGTCGCGAAACGAGAACGTATCGCGCCCTCGCCATATATTACCTTTTATGCATCAATTTCCGGACAATATTTAATAATAACGTGTGCTAGGAATCGCGAAATTCATAGAATGTTTAAATACCACAGTTTCCACGGCATAGTTTTTCATTTATTTAAACTCGACTTGATATTTTTTTAAATGGACACTTTGCTATCCATAACTTAAAATTTCATATCGCACGAATTATTCTTGTTGAATAACACGTTAATATTGTAGCTCGTTTTATCGAATTTCTATCTCAGCTCGGTCTTTCTATTATTCGGGAGTTTTTCTCGACGCCACTGTCGGAATAAAGACAGCGCGGAGTTAACTTTGCTTTACGATTCTCGAGGATGAGAGAAAGGGCGGACATTCTTACGGCCTGGAATAAGTAAATAGTATATAGGTGAGTCGTATATGCGATAAAGGACGGCGGATTCGGTGGTGCGATCGCGAGAGAGGGTCGAGGAGAGAGCGAAAGAGAGCGGCCATTTTGTTTCCGGTGTCCCGGGAGCACTTCCGGTCACCGTCACGCAGTCCCGCGCCACGGAGTGCCCTCGAGCCTCCGAGATCTCCTTCCGCGATTATATTCAAATTAAATGCGCCGGTGCGACCGGTAATATACTGCCGCCAATTTAGCTACAACCCCCGAGGGGGTGGTTCGCCTTACCTACCGCCTCTGACCGCCGACCGTTTCGCGCATCGGAGGCAAGAACCCTGCGAATTGTCTCGTTTTGTTTGGAGCGCGTGCCGCAACGGTGTCAATGATTCTCATCCTGCGGTCGGATACTCGATAAAAACCACGGCCATCATACGCGAGCATAGTGATCGCGCGGTGAGCCAATCGACGCGGTGTCACAAGTGGGAGGATTGTTTCCGAAATGTCACAATAGATGACTGAATAGATAGAAACGTATGGAGAAAAATTCATCTCTGTATGTTTT